GTATACCACGTGACCAAAATCTAAAAGTTAGATATTCAGAAGAACTAGCGTATATGGGGCTCTTAGATACTTTTTACAGAATTGGATTATCTCCTATGGTATAGGAGTAATTGACCAAATCACTTGTGCGAGATATATTGACCGGCCCTTTATATTAAATCTATAGACAAGTCTAATCTATTCTTTGAGCACTACCCGAATTGTGGTTTAAGTATAGCATCGCTGTGTATTCTTGTTTAAGCAAAACCCGAATTGTGATTAATAAATAGCATCGTCATGATCAATGTCATGTAAATATAAGCCATATACAAATATTTTATAATAAAATAATTAAAATTTGTTACTTACTTATTAATATTAAAGAGTTGTCTCATTATTAAACCTAAACTATACACATCAGACTTTGTAGAGTACGTGCCAATAGAAGTTTCAGGAGCCATATATGCAGGTGTGCCAACTCGTTGCAAACTAGTATTTTCGGGATAATCATTGATTGCCAACGATAAACCAAAATCGGACAAACGGATTAGTGTTCCATTGGTTAGATTATGGTCGCACAATATGTTATTAGGTTTTAGATCACGGTGAATTATTGATGGCACTGCCGTATAGTTTAGGTAATTTAATGCGCTAAGTATCTCACCGTATATTCGCCATGAAATGAGGTAGTCAAATAATTTGATATGATTGTTCGGATATGAAGTTAATAATTCTTTTTTCAATGTAATAACATGTTTTAGGTTTGACTTACAGTAATCCATTGCAATAACAACAAACATATCTTTAATAACTATGTGATTATGGTAACCAACAATGCATTTGTGTTTTAGTCTAGACATTATTGTGCCTTCCTCCAATGCAGGTGAATATAGTGGTCGGACTATTAAAAATTGTTTTATTATTAAATAATTTATTATTTAGTATATTATTAACACATACGGTTAAGGTTAACAATTTTAATAGCACATATTTTATTGTCAATTTTACTCCTTGCTTTATATACAGAACCAAAACCTCCGGAACCAACTAATTTTTTGAATTTATATAGATCTCCTATTTGCTCTTGGTACGTTTCAATAGAGTAATTAAAGTGCTTATCAGCATTGTCATAAGGATCGCGAGGTGAACACTGGAATTTATTGCTAAATGTACGCACTTTGTGGAATCTATATAAGTTGTAAACATTATTTCACAATATTTATGTTTTATACGTAATATTATATTATATAATTTACAATGAATTAACATAAAATATTAAGTTGTAACAAAAATAACGAAAAATATATTATTTACCTTGTATTTTGGTTATTGTGCTGAATATAATTAGCTGTTTTTTCTTGGTCATCTTGGCCACAAATTGCCCTATATAATATTTTGTGTCAATCGTAAGTAAATTCATTTTTAATTAAAATTATTATGTAAAAGTATTAACATGTTACATATGCCGAATTAAATAAATTCTTAATTTGTTTGCTTAAATTATATAAAATTTGTATGAAAATCACGTTTAACTTTTACATTACTATACTAAATATAAATATGTCTGGTTTTATGAAAGCTACAAGGTTACCTTTATTTAGTAAAAGTAATTATCTAATGACTGAGGCGCTAGTGACGCTTTATATTAATCGTTGAAATTAAATGAGTATCTTTATACCTTATTTTAAAATTATAATACTGTTGCAAAAATTCATTTTTCCCCAATAAAGCTATACCATCATGATCGGCGCACACAGTAGAAATATTATAAACAATTGGTTGTTGACCAATTAGTGTCAATATTTCTGCACACCCCGGTCTATCAGATGCTTTACCAGCAATCATACGGACCAACAAACTTATAAGCTCGATGTGTACAGCCATTTTGTTGCTAAATTTATAATGCAATATTTATATAATGAAATAAACAATAATATAGATTATAGACAAATATGTTAATTATATATACTTGTTAATGTCGAGATTGAAAAATTGAATAAGGGTAATACCCAAGCTAAATATATCGGCCAGCTTATTGTATAGACCGCCCCATTTCACCTCGGGCGCCTGATAGGTTAGTGTGCCCACATTGACCGTATGCAGTGATCCAGACTCTTCAAGTTTAGCAAATCCAAAATCGCATATCTTAACCACCCATCCATCACCTTGTTGTTTGACCAATATATTACTCTGGTTTACATCCCGATGCATTATATCCATGCCGTGTAAATAGTTTAAACCGTTGAGAATCTCTTCGACCAAGTTTATTGAGATAAAATAATTAACCGGGCGTATCACCTCTCTTGAGTTGCGTTTATAAACGTTTGTGATAAATTCAGATACATTATGTAGATTGTAATTACAGAAATCCATCATAATGTAAATTTTATCAAGTTCATTTTCAGGATCACCCTGTTCGCGCCACGCCTCATAATACTTTATCACGTTTATGTGATCGCACGATTGCACCAAGTTAACTTCACGGTTGATATATTTCCAATTTGGATCCACTGAAATTAATTTATATATTTTTAAAAAGTTAACATAATAAAATTTTTATTTATTATTATATTTATATCTAAATAAAATGTAAGAGTATTTTAAAGTAATAAGCTACTAATCTATCACATACATTACTAAACCTTTATCATTTCAATTACATATTATTAAACATACCTTTAAGTAGCTCAAGTTGTTTAATTGCGTAAACATTGTTGTTCATTTTAGACTCAACATGATAAACTTTGCCATAACCACCATAACCAATTAATTTGAATTCGTTATAATTGGTATTATATCTGCCATTCGCCACTTCAATTGGCACTTCCATACCCGAGTCATTCGCCGCCATATTTAACTTAATACTCGAATACAACGACACAAATATTCAGCACAAATAATCAGTTACTAATTTATAATAAAGACAATAAATTCACGTATCATAAGTATTTTTATTGCATATTAATTGATAGTAACCTAGTGTAAATATTTTTATATACAGTACATGTATGCAAGTAATCTAGAAATCCTTTATTGTAAGATAATTAGATTTTGTTGAATATACAAAAAGTTTACTAACATTATATCTTATTTAATGAATTACCAATGACAAATTAATTTTTAATAAATTGGTAATTAACTTTTGCTGAGAGAGAGAGAGAGAGAGAGAGAGAGAGAGAGAGAGAATTATTAATAAATAATTTTATAATTATACACTCTATATATAAACAAAATACTAAATATAAAATGAATAGATAGTCAGCCATGGTTATAAGGGGTAATAAACTATAAAGTTGTCTCTCAAGTGGTGCATATTATATAACTGTAAATATTATTTAAAATTTCTTTTTTATATAAATATTATTTAATTTACCAATCATTGGCGTCTTTTGTAACAATAATTTTGACATAGTGTAGTATATAATTTCGTAAGCAACTATTGATACTTTTATTATTAATTAATTAAAAATACAAGTTGTAAGCAATACATTAGATTATGGTTTAGCATGTTAAAAATAAAATTAACTTGCACCTAAGTAAATCAATAAATCAATTTATTAATTTATATTCCAGACAAATATAGAAATTAAACATGCTTTTAATATATTCAACATTATTAGCATTTCTATATTTAATTCGGAAATGCTATGAGTGTTATGAAGTAACCGATTGTGGTCGGAATGGTAAATATGTGCTGAGTTTGACCACAATTCGATATTGTCACATTGTAGTCACTATAGATTCGATAACTGTAAGAAATATATTTTAATATGGTTTAATAATTCAACAATTCTTAAAATAATTATGATGGGTCAGTCTAGTCTTCCAAGAATTAGTATACATTTAAACCAATCAAAACATATGGTCATATTTTATTATTTATTAAAATATTAGATAAAACTCCATTCAATGAACTTATCATCATGGTTCTCTATATCGATTACTCACAGTATACCGGATGTGTGAGTGGGAGAAACAAGTAAAACCTACTTATATGTAACAATTGATTTAATTTTATATATTTTAACCAGACCTAACTATATTCGTTCTACCGGAATGTAAATTAAACAATTAAAACTGTAATTTAAATTAATTCTGCAAATAGTTGTTGTCTTATCTTACATTTGGTGGTGATTTTTAAATTGGCGATCGGTATTGTAAACGAAGACATTATGGGTTGCATTGATTACGCTTAAGCCCTGTTATAGAGTTGGTCACTGCGGGGCCGCACATGGATTATGGCGTCCAGACATTTGCGCCAAATAATCAATAATCTTATTGAATAATTAGTTTAATTCATGATTAATTGAGTGCCGAATTAAATGAACAATGTTAGTAACAAAATGATTAAACTTAATTCTGTAAAAATATAATATTAAATTTTAAATTATTTTTGCAATATACTATTGAAATATATATAATTTCAAAGACTTCTAACTTGTAAGACCAATTATGTAGTGTATATTTCAAATGCGTTAATTAATATTATAAATTATTTTTTATTTACTGTACGTAAACAATAAATTTTATGTAACTCTATTGTATAGTAAAAAGTGTAAATTTTTAATTGTGGTTAAATATATTTTTAATCATACTCTAAATGATCTTGATCATATTGTTATGAGGTATGGCATAACTGGACACTATTTACCTTATTTTAGGCCACACTCAGCCGACGGCACATCACTAAAAATATACACAAGTGTTAATTAGAAAACATTCACAAAATTATATTTTAAGGCCAGTTTTAACTAAATTTTTTTTAAGATTAAGATAGTACATTAGATTATTAACAATTTGGATAACTGACAAAGATTAAACTAGAAATTTAACCCTAAACCACCTCATATGCCAGGAGTCATATGGACTGGCCGGGGGGATAATGTTATGAGGTATGGCATAACTGGACACTATTTACCTTATTTTAGGCCACACTCAGCCGACGGCACATCACTAAAAATATACACAAGTGTTAATTAGAAAACATTCACAAAATTATATTTTAAGGCCTTAATTACAAAACACAAATTGCCGTAAAATATAGTAAACTTTACTATAACTAAAATATAACTCATATGCTATGAGTACTCCAGTACTCAAAATGATAAGTCTATGTAATTTGAAACCTAATTTACTATTGATTAGAAGGTTTAATTAGAAGTATAGTTATTAACATTAATTGAATGGAGATTTATTAAGATAAAATTAAATAGTGTTTTTACTGAATTAACATTAAATAGTCTAATATTAAATATGGTAAATGTAGGAAAATTTTAATTAAAAAAACATTTACAAAATTAAGATTTTAAAGCCTTAATTATTATAACATAAAAATGCCGTAAAATATAGGATCTTTATTATTATTAAATACTAAATACATAATAGTGTATTACAACTCTATTAGTACATTTGTACTCAGTTTGATTTTATCTTGCAATTTGATATTTAAATTAATGAACATTAAGATTATTGCAACAAAATTAAATACATAAAATTAAATACGATTTGAAAATGATAATAACTTTATGTTTGAATTTAGTGTTTATGTTAAATAGACAAAAAGTATTTTACAATTTGCAATACAAAATACAGTAAAGGTTTAAATTAATTTGTAAAAAGTTAACCATGAAAACATTGAACACTTTTATCACTAACTAAAAACACTGTAATTAAAAAGTCCTTCAAGTTATGTTATTTACAATTTGCAATACAAAATACAGTAAAGGTTTAAATTAATTTGTAAAAAGTTAACCATGAAAACATTGAACACTTTTATCACTAACTAAAAACACTGTAATTAAAAAGTCCTTCAAGTTATGTTTGAACATCGAATGTCAAAACACTTACCATAAAATTGTATTTATCAACAAAAATATTTTGTACTAAAAATTTAATAACTATTGTAATGCTTTTTTGTTAACGCCCTAATAATCTTACCTTTAGTATATATACCACACCATATCATTTGTAAAATTCAATAAGTTTTTAAAATCAACAAAAATATTTTGTACTAAAAATTTAATAACTATTGTAATGCTTTTTTGTTAACGCCCTAATAATCTTACCTTTAGTATATATACCACACCATATCATTTGTAAAATTCAATAAGTTTTTAAACGCATTAAAGTTTACTTTAAAGTAAAAAAGTGTTTACATTTATTCACTCAGTGTTTATTATAATGTTGTGACATAAGTGGTCAGTAAGTTAGGGCCGACGGACAGACCTATCGGACCAAGCGTTACCTATCGGACAAAGCGTTACCTATCGGACATGGCGTAACATATCGGACATTGACGTAATACCCGGACAGCATAGACGTGATACCCGGATCGCATTGACGTAATACACGGACAGCATAGACGTGATACCCGGATCGCTTTGACACGTGATACCACGATCGTATAGACGTAAAACCCGAACACTTTGAAACACAACAAACAAATAGTAAGCGCATTATTCCCTTTACAAATACTATAGTAATGTGTATGTAATGGCGTGAAGTAAACGCCATCTATGTAGTTAACAATCAGTATTAACCTAGTATTAAATAAGGAATACAAAAACTCCCTCTCTAGGAAACTCCCAGAGTTATCAAATGTATGCGTACTCTCACTGCGCACACTCACATGTTAGCCCCTTATGTATACATGTGTGTAGTTGGACTTCACACATAGCGTAGGCTCTGACGTAAGA